TGCATTAAAATAATTGTGTCAATTTTCTTATTAATTTTTTTTATGTTAAAATATTATTTATTATATTTTACTAAATTAATATTTAATTATAATAATTACATTATTTTTTAAGTTGTCAAAAAATAAAGTATAAATAAAAAAAATTATAAAAGTAAGAGATGTTATAAAACTACCTATTGAAACAAAACTTGTAAAAATATAATATGAATCACTTAAGAATGATATAACATGACATATCTTATTTAAGGTGAAATAAGAATCATATATCTTATTTAAAGTAAAATAAGAATCCAAATGAATTATTTATAAAAACTTGTAAGATATCTTAAATCAATTAAATAAAATGAGGACTTTAATTATATTTCAATTAAATTATCTAAAGTTAAGTGTTCCACATATTATATTAATTAAGTATAATATGTATATAAAATACTTTTTATTAATATTCTTAAGACATTCATTAATCATTATTTAAACTTTTTATTTGTTTAGTCAATTATGGTTATTGTATCCCAGTGTTCACTCTTTATTTAATGAAATCCGCATAAAAATAATAGTTTTGAAAAAAAACATGTATCAAAGAGTATATATATATTAATGACCAACATTTCTTTTTATATAAATATTACTCAATAATTCTGTTAAGAAAGAACATTATTTCCATATTCCATTCCTCTTTGGCATGTGATCCATTTCTTCCTTTAGCGTCAAAAGCATAATTTAGGCAAAAGGTTCCTCATTAAAGAAGCAAATTAATTAATTTAACAAACTGAGTTTACTGCACATGAACGTGGTTGTTAGGCTGTTAATTAATCCTAAACTTAATTGACCCGACTTTCAACATAACCAAAGAGTGGTCCTCTCTCTATATATACTTTCTCTTTTATTCTTCAAGTCTTTATGATTATGACGATCAGCATCTCAATTCTATAGATTTTCATCCCTGTTTTGCATGATTATAAAATCAAACAAATACTTCCACGTGAAACCTTAATCTTATAAGAAATGTAGTTTGATTTCTTCTTCTTCTTCTTTTTTTTTTTTTAATAATATTGAGAGAATAACTTTTGCATTTTGATAGAATTAACAATAGATATATCCATTACTCCTACACTTACAAGCTATTTCAAACATTAAGTTATGTATTTGAGTTTCATTTCAGTTTGGACATAAAGTCATGATTTAACTGAAAGTATGGTTTTATTTCTATAGAAGTCAATTGAAGAATTACAACTTGTTCTTAAATTAAAATTAAAATAAAAAATGAAAAACAGTTTACATTTGCACCGACTTTCAACATGTTAATAAGGTAGATATTATCGTGTGGTCCAAATATACTTAGTTGTTGAGGTGAGAGGGAAATGAATAATCTCATTGAATTGAATACTAAATACATTATTCAGATATAGATATGTGTAATTATCACAAGTGGCTCCATACATAGTGTTATACAGACTTTTGTCATGAAGAGACTTAAGTTAGGTTGGCAGCAATCACATTTTATCTTTTCCATTCAGTAATAGGGTTTTAAAATATTATCAAAACAAAATAAATAATAAAATAACTGATTTAATTTTAATTTTAATATATACTGGTAGTGTAAAAGAATTACACTATAAACTAATTAACAATATTCTAGATATGACATTTAAAGTAATTGTATTATACAAACTTTATCAATCTGATCATACATGTCTATTAAAGGAGAATATTAAAGATTTTTAGAATATATATATATATATATATATATATATATATAGTTAAATTTCTGAAAATAAAACGATTTTTGTATTAGTATATAAACTAAAATGCCGTGTGATGAGAAACTTCTAGACAGGCAAGCAATCGTAGATAAAACCAATTAATTGTACAAATAATATGTATACTTTAAAGTATAAATGTAAAGCATATCAAAACCCAAATACATGTAAAGTGTATACATTTTGAAAAATAAAACAAAAATATATTTATCGTTAATAAGAAATAAAAAGAATAGATTCCCACACACTAATAGTGTTAATTGAATGCTTGTATATTATAAATTCAAAATACTTCATTTTTACTGCAGATAATAGCTAGCTTTTATTCTAAAGAGTCTAAACTAAATTCAACTTTTAGAAACGTCCATGTATGTAATCTATTATTAATGCTTATTATTAAAATAAAGGTTTAATATGATGATATACTGATAGTGTAAAACAGTTTACACTCTTATCTAATTACAGTCTACCATAAATGATATTATAACGTAGTTAACATGCTCCCTTATAAGTCATATGAATTTTTATTTTTTATTAGTTGAATGTATAAAACTTTTTATGATAATAATATATAACTATTCAACACTTAAAAATACTGTCAATAAAATAATTATATAATAAATATTTATATTTGTAATAACTAACCCATTAATAATCTGGTACAACCTAAACATAGGTTTCAACGTACATAGGGTCATTGGAGTTTAAGCTAAGTAGCCATGTAAGATACTCGTACAAAAATTCTTATATAGGGTTTGGACCCACTTGGCACAAACAAAAACGTCATAACCCTAATGAGTAAGCTTCTTTTTTCTTTTTCTTTATAAATGATAATTTATTTTTTATAACTAAGAAATGTAAAAAGTTCATTTAATAATAAAATAATATTTCCAATTACGATTTCATATTAAAAAATAAATTATATTACCTAAGGAACACATCTATTAAATTTTGTATTAATATCAACTTTTAATATAAGTTATTTTGATGACATACAGTTTGTTTGGATAAAAGTTTTTATAAACACTTCTAATAAAAAAGAATAAGAAGACAAATAAGATAAGATTTTCCAAATTTACTAATAATATAAATTAATTTATATAGAGATTCTTTTATATTAATATTTTTTTAAATTATTTTATTTTAATTTATATATAAGTTAATTTTAATTTATAAAAAATTCTAAAACTAATTATAAAAAAGTTTACCAAAATCATGTCCATTTGTTTTTTGCGGGCTCATCCAATTTCCATCTATGTAAATAAAAGACGAAAATAAAGCCGAATTTGCGTATACGTTTACGAGTTATTTTTCTCAGGGTTTTATGTAGTTTTACTTTTATTTGGTAATCATACGCATTTAAAAAATTTGTGTGTATATATCCTTCTTAAACTATGTTTTTGTCAATTTTGGATATTACCTTAAATAGTAGTGGACAATTATGAATAAAAAATAACGTAGACACCATATCATTAGTCTGCAAAATATATTTCTATACTACCAATTAAAAAGGCAGCTGTTAAGTTCTGTCAATTTGATATAAAAAAAAAATAGGTGAGATTCTTATCCTAATTAAACTAAAAGAAAGTACAAAAGGATTTAAATTGTTTGTATTATTTACGATGAAAATGGCAATTCTATTCGATCCAGCACTTGCTAATAGACGATTATTTCATTTTATTTTTTATTCTAATACACACGCCCGACAGTTATATAATATCAAAAGATGCAACTTGTGTTGCTTTAAAGCTTTACAGATAAACAGAAATATAAAACAAAATAATTATATAAATAATTACACAAAATGAGAATAATAACCCTCAAATAGGTATAATGATGATATATAAGATTTTTTCAATTAAGAATTCTTTCATCCATGATTCTATGCAACTTTATTTTGACCATAAAATACCAGAGTTTATATACCCAGCTAAAAAATTTAATCAGTGGTATTTTTTTTTTTTTGAAGCAACAATCAGTGGTATTTATTCTCCCCAGTTTAATATAGTTTGTATATAACTAATTCTCTTACAGATTGTATATTTTTTAATGAGTAAAATGGTATATTGAAGAAGAAACTTTATGATTATTAAGTAAGAATAATAGCATCTTGGAGATGCTCATATTAAATACTATTGTCCAGTTATTAATAAATATAAGACATTATATATTTTCAAAATCATATTAATTTCAAATTGTCCTTAGTATACATATATAAAACATCATATTAGTTATTAATAAATACACTATTAATCATTTATAAAATTAATATAACTCTCTTGTTAGTTTACTTTTATGTGCTACATATGATAGTGTTGTATTAAATTCTCACTTTTCAATAACACTATAATTTCCCAACAATATGCATTATCACATTAGCTTTCGAAATTTTGAACCAAGACCATTATTATAAGAATGATATTAATTCATACAATAGATTTTTTTTATTATAACTTTTTGTTATCTCTTTTTACATATTAATCATTCATTTTATTTTACATTTCTCTCTTTATTTTTCATTCAAATTTATGAAAAAATTTAAACAAACTTATTATATTTGGATAAATAACAAATCTAACAGCCAAAAGGAATAACCATCTTGCATAAAATTACGAAACTCGAATACACGCATGCACAAAAATTAAAAAGCAACGAGTTGACATGAAATATATGAAGACTCGTGTTAGTCTTAATTTATTTTTCTACGATTAATATCCTTTTATAAATAAAGATATATATATATATATGTATATATTCGTAATAATCTTATTTTATTCTTTATAATAACTTTGTATAATTTCACAGTTGTCTGTTTTCTTTTATTTCTCGTACGTGTAAAAAATAATGAAAATAGAAAAAAAATGAATTCCATTTCCATGATTGGTGGATTATATTTATCTGTGTGTCTTTTGACTTTCTTTATTTTACCGTACTATACAATGATGAACCTCTCTTATCCTTTTTCTCACCCATTTTTTGTCCTCTCTCGTCTCTCTTTCTTTTCTGTCTTTCACAGATCTCACCGTCACAGCTACGAACCATTCAACAAAATGTGCATCACTGCCAACACGTGAATACGGAACAATTCTCATACCCACGCACTTAACTTAGCTTAAGCACCCCTAACGGCTATACTTTTCTAAACCCACATTATTCATTATTCACTATTCACTATTCACTATTCACATGCCTCCACTTTCTACTATATATTTCTAATTCTAATCCTTCTCATACAAAAAATTTAATACTAAAATACACCCAACGCTCCACTTCTAGCTTCTTAAAAAACACATCAACAATGCTCTCATGAAACATTATAAGTAATTCTCCTTCTCCAACCTTTCCACACCCAACCTATCTCTCCTCTTAGCCATGTCCAACCTAAAACAACCCTACATCGGAATCTCCGATGCCGCCAACCACAACAACAAGAAGAAGAAGAAGAAGCTCTTCCTCTCCCTCTTCGCCGCCCTCCTGGTGGCAGCCTCCGTGGCAGCCATCGTGGCCGGAGTCAAAAACAAAACCTCCTCAAACTCAAAGTCCAACTCCGACACCCCTCTCAGCCTCTCCCACCACTCCCACGCGCTGATAAAAAGCGCGTGCAGCTCCACATTGTACCCGGAACTCTGCGTCTCGGCCATCGCCTCAGAAAGCAACGTGACGCACAAAGTAAGAAGCCAGCGTGACGTCATCCAGCTCTCCCTCAACATCACCACGCGTGCCGTGGAGCACAACTACTTCACCGTGAAGAGGCTCCTGGCCAAACACGCCCTTACCAAACGCGAGAAAACCGCTCTCCACGATTGCCTGGAGACCATAGACGAAACCCTGGACGAACTGAAACAAGCGGAGCAAGACCTGCAACTGTACCCCAACAAGAAAAGCCTCTACCAACACGCCGACGACTTGAAGACCCTTATCAGCGCCGCCATAACCAACCAGGTCACGTGCCTCGACGGCTTCTCGCACCAGGACGCCGACAAGCGCGTAAGGAAGAAGCTCGAGGAGGGGCAGGTGCACGTGGAGCGCATGTGCAGCAACGCCCTCGCCATGACCAAGAACATGACCGACAACGACATCGCCAACTACGAGTACAACATGCGCCTCAAGCCCAACAACAGGAACTTGGCCCAAACTAGCCATCATCATGTCCACTGGCCCCACTGGATTTCGCCCGCCGACAGGAGGCTCCTGCAGGCCGCCTCCGTCAAGGCCGACGTCGTGGTGGCGGCCGACGGCAGCGGCGACTTTAAGACGGTGACTGCGGCGGTGGATTCCGCTCCGCTTAAGAGTAGCAAGAGGTATGTTATACGGATAAAGGCTGGGGTGTATAGAGAAAACGTGGAGGTGCCTAAGAAGAAGACCAATATCATGTTCTTGGGTGATGGAAGAACCAACACTATCATCACTGCTAATAGAAATGTTGTGGATGGTAGCACCACTTTCCACTCTGCCACTGTCGGTACGTTACTTCCTTTATCCTTACTTTACTTATTCTCATTTTGCATTTCATCAAACAAATTCAATACATGACTCAACAATGGCTAAGTCTTTTCTTCTCTCTCAACTCGATCCTCTCATCTTAAGACCATACAGTCTATCTTTTTATCCTTTTCTTATTATTCGAATAAGTTTTCATATGATTTCCCTCGTACAAAATGCTGTGCACGTGGTGTCTTCAGAAAATGCTTGTTCATTTATATTGAAAAATGCCTGTTCTGTTTTTCACTACTAATTTCGAACATTTGCAACATTTTCGTTTTACCGTGAAACCTGCTGTCTTTAATAATAACTAAACTAATACGTTTGCAAAAAGTTCTTCATATATATTTTACTCGTACTTGTATGTCAGAAAATTAAGAGTGGGGACAATTGAAAAGTTGCCAGACTCCTTCACCGATTCTGATTGTTCCGGTGTCAGTTGTAAAACTTGATCTAACCTTGGACAAAACATGAGTCATTAGTTAAATTGATGTCAATTGCTTCTCAAATTTTAAGATTTAAGATTTTAAGTTTAATTTTGGATTTAATAAAAAAATCTTCATGTAATTAAAGTTAAGAAGAAGACTAGTCTCAACAAACTTAATATTATATTAAAAAATTAGAGGTTTTAGTGTAATGAATACCTTAACGTGAAGGCCAACGAGTAACAGTATTTTATAAATACACATTATATGTAAATTCCTATAATTTCGGGATACTGAGGTCCCAGCTGGAAGACAACATAAACAACAATTACGGGCCAGATCGCGGTGTTATCCTAACTTTTCATCATCATAATGATTTACAAATCTATTTCTTTAAACCGAACAGTCATTTTCAAAAAAATTGGTCAGCATGCACATGGGTTGCTCTGCATTCTCAGTACAATAATTTATTTGGTCTTTTGAAATCGTGCTTCTCAGCTACATGGTAGTAAGATTACAAGATTAAATCAATTCACATATCCTGTTCATGTCGCTTTTAAATACGTTTTCTATGTTCTAAAGTCCCATACATTTTTTTTTCCATTTTGTTAAATTTTCTGAGTAAATGTTTCTGTCTATAGTATTTACATTGTAATATGTAATTGAAAAGAAACATTACATATACTAAAAAATTAATAATAAATTAAATGTTAGGTACGAGCATACAATTTTGGAAAATAGTACCATTTATACATTATTAATTTGTATATTCTTAATTAACTTATATAAATCAGAACAAATATTATTTTCTAGACATATGCAAGACAGACTGCACAGAAATTGTTGTTAAGAAATTTAGTTAACTAAACTATCTATCATTGAATCACTGTTATAAGGGTATTCTTGACCATGTCATGTCACCGACACAGAAATAGCGAGCTAGACAAAGTATTCTTTCTTTGGGGCCGTTTATATTTTCTTTTTAAAAGAAAAAAGTTTTTTAAAATTAATAAAACGTTTAAATTTTTTTAAAAGTTAAATTAAGCTTTTCAAAAGTAGCAACAATTAAAAAGTTTTATTAATTAATTTTCTTTAAAGATAAAGTGTGTTACTTCTTCGGGGGCAGAAGGCTCTAAAAAATATCACGAAATCAATTTTTTCAAACCTATTCGTGCTTGATTGAATATAAAGATTGATTTAGGAGAGCTGTTCTCCTTTGACTTTTTCTTTATAAAAGTTATATTCTCTCTTTTATACTTTTTAATATTTTAAAATTATCAAAAAAATCCTATGAAGAATTTTACATAGATTTAATTTGCAAGAATATAACTTTTTCTCAATAAATTATTTTTTGTAAAAAGAATCGACTTAAATATGTTTTTAATCATTAAATTTAAGGTAAATTTATTTATAATTTTTCAAATTTAAAATTTTTTTAGTTCTTGAAAATTTTTAAAAAATTTTATTTTAGTATTTAGACTCAAATTTTTTTTAAAGATCTGTCAAATATTGCTGCAAAAAATTTATTTACTAATGTACCTATTAGTAAAAATATCACATTAAACCTAGATGATATTACATAATTATTTTAATTTATCACTTTTAAATATATTATTGATGATTTAAGAACTAAAATAAAATTTTTAAAAATTATAGAGAATAAAAATAATAATTTTAAGTTTAAGAGATTAAAAAAAAAAGAGAGAGAGAGGAGAAAGACATGTTTAAACCAAAAGAATAAACATTTGTTACAAGTATGTTGTTTGTGAATGAAAAAAGGGGTTGGGATACAGCTAGACAAATCTTCATCTTAACCTTGACTTTATATACGCCACTCTGGTTCACCTGTCATTTTCAGCATTTATTTTCCACTTTGAAGCCACGGTGATGCTTCCTTCTACCTATTCGCTTCAATCATGCATGCTCTGTCCAATAATTTAGATTAGCCATATACTTGCATGATACATCATGCACAATCTAAGTAAGCACCCTTTTGCGTTTCCTTAATATGTCTCGCTAACCTGTCATTGTCTTCTTTTATTTTTTTCGCCTTACAAACCATATTTGTAACATTAAGTTGGTTACTTTTTTAATAATTATATAAAACGTCTACTTAACAAACTGAAATATCATTGTTTAATTATAAGTAAAATCCAACGTCTAATCTTGTCTTATACCGTACATTGCGCATACAGGCCATACCCTATCTCACTTGTCCTCTTGTATTAAGCCTTTGTTATACTATGCCTAATTAAACAACTCCCCCGAGTGAAGTCCATCAACTTGATGACCATTCAATGCATGGTTGTACAATATGAGCTGTATTTGTACGTATTTATCCTACTTTTTCCTCTCAACTAGCCCAATGAGAAGTAATCTACAATAGTGACAATTTAAGTGCCACTCTCGTAGTTGTATTTGTACAATCTCCCACCGAATAGACCAAACACTTGGACCACCACTAAATTGCTTTGGAGCATTCAAATGGTAGTCTCTTTATGGTTACTCTAGTTCGATTTTATTTAACCACCATGGTTAACTACTAGATTTGTTCTTTACTACAAAATGAGCATCTCAATAGAGACTTCACACTCCAAAGCCAAATTAAGTTATGAATAAAGAGAAAGTGAAATTCATAAGAGGATAATCAATATACTATATGATCGTGTTTTACTTTTCTAATGGATCAAAAGTATATATCTAGCAGTTGAAGAGTTAACTTTTTGTAACAAATATTTATTCTTTTGCAGCTGTGGTGGGTGGCAACTTCTTGGCCCGGGACATAACATTCCAAAACACAGCGGGCCCATCAAAGCACCAAGCAGTGGCCCTAAGGGTGGGTGGGGACCTCTCAGCCTTCTACAACTGCGACATCTTAGCATACCAAGATACCCTCTACGTCCACAACAACCGCCAATTCTTCGTTAACTGCCTCATCGCAGGAACAGTGGACTTCATCTTCGGGAACTCCGCAGTTGTCTTCCAAAACTGCGACATCCATGCAAGACGTCCTGACTCGGGGCAAAAGAACATGGTCACAGCACAAGGAAGGGTGGACCCTAACCAGAACACTGGCATTGTGATCCAGAAGTGTAGGATCGGTGCCACCCAGGACTTGGAGCCTGTGAAGAAGAGTTTCCCCACATACCTTGGGAGGCCTTGGAAGGAGTATTCCAGGACTGTCATCATGCAGAGTAGCATCAGCGATGTCATTCAGCCTGTGGGCTGGCATGAGTGGAGTGGCAACTTTGCTTTGAGCACTTTGGTCTATAGGGAGTATCAGAATACTGGGCCTGGAGCTGGCACTTCTGGGAGGGTTTCTTGGAAAGGCTTTAAGGTTATCACGGATGCTGCTGAGGCCCGGGCTTTTACTCCTGGGAATTTCATTGCGGGCTCCAGCTGGTTGGGCTCCACGGGCTTTCCTTTCTCTCTTGGCTTGTAAATTATGCCTTTTGTTGTAAGTGTTGTTTGTAATGTGGTAGAGAGGAACAATGTTAAGTTAAAAGGAAAAGAGAGAGGTTGCTGGAGAGGAGGGGTTTAATTTGTTGGGATCCATTTGGAACATTGCCATGTTCTGCCTTGGGCTATATTTATTGTGATGTTGCCACCACTAGCTAAATAATGATGACAATAAGTGTATGCTAGGGTTTTGGCTCCTTCAAAAATATTGGATTTTGTTTTGGTTATGTGAATTTTAGGATTTATGAAACCACCTCTGTTATGGGATTAATAGAGGTGTAAAATAGGTTGGATTAGTTTTACGAATTTTTTACTAAAATAAAATTTTTTTACCAAAAAAGCATATGTACCACTTTATTTACCCAAGTAGCATCTTTCACTGATCACGTTCAGAATTTGGTTCCCCGAATTCGGTTCCCGGGGAACCGAATTCTGAGCTGTTAAATTTTATTTTATTTTTTGCGTTTTTGGATCTGAGCATGGTGTAAAACTGCATCCGGAACGGTCCGTTCTGAAAGGAGAACGTTCTCCTTTCAGAACGGGCCATTCCGGATGCAAAAATACACACATGACAAATGGATCAAAACGGACCGTTTTGCTTGGACATTCCAGTTTCAAAAATAACATACTACGCGTGCAAGTAGAACGGTCCGTTCTGCTTGGAGAACGAGCCGTTCCAGTTGTAACATTAACCCAGAACCCGAACTACAAACAGAAAAGAAAAAAAAGGTTTAAACACTATTCAGAATTCGGTTCCCGGGAATCGAATTCTGAACAAAAAAAAAATTTAACAGCTCAGAATTCGGTTCCCCGATAACCGAATTCTGAGTGTGAACAGTAAAATGTGCTACTTTTGTAAATAAATTGGAAAAGGTGCTGTTTTGGTAAAAAAAAATTTAAAAATTTTATTTCAGTAAAAAATTCTTAGTTTTACTTAATCTGATTAATACGTGCTAAATGTTATTTTAGATTAAAATGATCTTACTTATATTTTTTTGATTGTTTTTTTTTGTCTAATTTGATTCATGTTGGGTCATTGAGTTAAATTGATCCGATTAAAAAAATTTAATTTAATTTTTATAATGAAAAAAATAAAAATTATAACATAATTAATTAATATTATATATGTTATGGAATAAAAATATGTCATGAAACATTTAATAGTTATACATGTATATAATTTACTACAACTATTGCATTTACATTTATTTATACTATGATCAACCTTTTTCATAATAATTTCATACATCAAGTGTATTAGCCTTAGTTTTCTTAGTCTTTTTGGTATCTTGATGTTCGTCATTAATACCCTACCTTTACTTTTATCATGACCCTATGAGTATAAACACAAACATGATTACGTTTTCATCTTCTTTGACACACGAAATAGAAACAAAACTCTCATAACACCGAACTTAATAACTTTAAGCTTGTAACTACAATTTTATAAGCGAACACAAAAAAGTGAAAGATTATTATTATCGTTACAAATTTACAAATTGAAGGTAATTTATATTATTTCACCTATTAGTTTAATAGGTAGCCTGTAAGCCTACAGGTCAGCTCAACCTTGGCCCATTCGGCCTGTCGAGCTTAACAAGTTAGACAAAAATGACTTAATTCTATTTAGGTTATCATTTTAAGGCCTAGTCTAACCTTATTTACAAATTGATTTAACTGATTGGGTCAAACTCAAATCGACAACTCTAGAGATTAACCATATTGTACACCTCATTAAAAATTAAATATTTTTAAATGAAAATATACTTTAAATTTTAAGGTTACCCTTTTAAGGTTTATTCGAATTTCATTTACAAATTGATCCATCGGATCAAACTCAAATTGATTGTCTTAGGATTTAACCACGTCGTACACCTCATTAAAAATTAACTATTTTTAAATGAAAATACACTTTAAATTTTAATGAGTTGATATGGTGATTAGACATTTTATGGTCACACTTACACATTGTGAAGATGATGTATTTAGGCAAAAATCTTTATTCATAAAAATTTGTCAATCACGATATCACGAGCAGAATTAGTGTCTAGTCTAATGGGTCAAGAATACTAGGAATTAAAAAAAAAATATATTGATTAAGTAAAAAGTATAAAATAAAAATGTTATATGTACAGCTGTGCACATACATAAGGTGGGTTGGTGAATGACAGAATGTCTTTATTTTTGTTGGCCAAATCAATGTATGAAACGTGAATAGTTTTGGATCATGTATATACACCTATTTTTTAAGAAGAAAATTCTAAAATATTCTTAATTTTTTTATTCTTTAATTTTTTAATTTTATACTTCCAACTTTTAATTTACTATTTTCTTCTTCTTTTTCACAAATCTTTTTTCTTCTCTTTTTCAATTTTCATATACACTCTCTTATATTCCTCCAATTCCTCACTTATTTTAATAAGTAGTTTTAGTTCTTTCAATTTTTACATGCACACAGACCGTAGAACTAATGCGCGACATCATTGTAGGTACATGCAGTTTCCTCGACAGTTCTTATCAAATTAGACACACATGTTTTCTTTCAACACTTTATCGCCTTTCACACTTCTAAAAACCTTAACATTAAATTTAGTGTTATGAAAAAATTCAAAAATCTTAATATTAAATTTAATGTTATGAAAAAGATATTTTGGAACACTAATTTCACTATTCTATAGTACTTTCCGGGATAGTGAAATTAGTATTCCAGAAAGTATTTTCTCAAATTATGTTTTTACATATTTCCATAAAGTATTTTTAGAACACTAAATTTAGCATTTTGAAAAAAAAATTCTGGAAGTATGTTACGAAAAATACTTTTTGGAACGTTAAATTTTCTAGAAATAACTTTTTGGAATTATGTAAGATAACACATTTTTGAAAAGTACTTTCCAGAATAGTAAAGTTAATATTCTGAAAAGTACTTTTATGGAAGTGTGTTGTTTTATATAATTCCAGAAAGTACTTTACAAAATACTAAATTTATTGTTCCATAAAGTACTTTATAAAATACTAAATTTATTGTTCCATAAAGTACTTTTTGAAAGTACGCTGAAAACATAATTTTAAAAGAGTTAATCATTCATACAATGCCAGTGTAAAGTTTTTTACACTAGCAACCAATCAAAATTTTTATATTATTTTATTTTATTTTTATTTCGTTAAATAAGCAACTGACATGACACTATTAAAAGATATGATTGGTTGGCAGTGTAAAAAAACTTTACACTGATAGTATATAGGTGACTGGAATACTAAAATTATTTGATGTTGTGTTTTCTAAGCGTGTAAATAGAGAAGTGCTCGAAAAAAATGCATATTTGACTTGACACTTTTGACACTGTCGAAAAAGTCACACGTACTTATAATATTGTCAAAAACTAATTTTACATCTCGAGTGCATGTGAAAACTAAAATAGGGAAGGAAGAAGATAATAGTGATAAAAATGAAAGAGGAGGGAAAAACGAGTAATATAAAACCGAATGAATTAAAACTACCTACTGAAATATGTAGGAGTGGAGGAAAGGTAAAAGAGTGCATGTGAATATTTAAAAGATGGGAAGGAGGTGTGTAAAATAAAAACTGCTAAATTAAATGTTAAGGGTGTAAAATTAGGAAATTAAAAACTAAAAAAATTAAAGATATTTTTTATAAAAAAAAATTAAGAGGAAGTTTATAAATAGCCATAACTTTTTATCGCTGGCCCATATCCAAACATTATCGCAGCCCAATATAGCTGTGGAACTCTCATGCATTTTTTATTTTGGAAAACTAACGTATGTGTGTATCTCGTTTAAGAAATGTGATTTAACAGAATTTTTTTTTAATACTTCTCAATCCTATAATTTAAAAAATAATTTTACCTTTTGAAAATATTCATTCCTTGTATGAAATCATTCTCACTCCGTAGATAAAAAAAATAATTCTCACTCCTGAACTATAGATATATAGATAGATATAATATTGAAAGAATAAAATTAAGAATGCAAATAAGATTATAAACTCCAAGCAAAATTTTAGATGTGACAATGTTATAGAAAAATACAGAAAAATACAACAAGTAAAAACTACTAAAACAAAAATAATTGTATAAGATTAATTGTAAATATAGAATCAGTTATATATCAATTGGAAACAATAACAACAAAATTTAACATGGTTTAAGATTATGATCAAAAAAGTGAAAAATTACTACAAAATTTGAAAATAAAAAATAAGGAACAAATGAAGAATAACGGTTTAAGAATATCATTAAAAACATGACTTTTATCAATATGGTTTAAGAATATAATCAAAAAAGTGGAAATTCACCACAAAATTTGAAAATAAAAAATAAGGAACAACGCGAAGAATAACGGCTTAAGAATATCATAAAAACACAACTTTTAAAATCAATGATCGAGTAATACAATAAAAATTAAATATTAGAAAAAAAAATTGAAAATAAACCACACAAATAATTTTATAAATTAGATAAAATGAAAGTGCAGCAATAGGACACCATAAGGGTTCCAAGTGACAAAAGTAAAACGGAACAAAGGAAAAGACTACGTTTTATAACTTTAGTAGCTCTAAAGATGAGTTGGACTTGTGAAGATTAAAACTTAATTTTTATTTTTTTTAAAACGCATCAACCCTTTAAAAATCTTTTTTTTTTTAAATCCTTTTTTTTATTTCCAGTCCAATAATTATAAGTTACTTACTATTTAATTAAAACCTTTAAAATAAAATATTTACTAAATACTATAATATATTTAAATTTAAAAAGAAAATTGATATGTTACATTTTTTACATGTCTTTCATTAAATATAACTTTGATCAAGTCACAAACATATATTAAATGTGAACACTTCTCTCGATAAAGGTTGAAATATTTGTTCATCACGAGAGATTAAGAATCTATTTGAATAATAGAGAAAAGCACTTTAAAAGAAATTCTATTGAAAATAAGAATTATTTTTTGGTAAAAAAAACTCTTAAAAATATTGTTAAATTTGTATCCAACCAAACCTTAATTCCTTATCCTAAACTCGAATGTAAGTGTATTTCTTTAAATTATACAATGTAACAACATCGCTTATTTTAATAATAGAATTCTTTGAAGTTATTGTTATTACATGAAGTTGAGGAAGAAGAAATATTGTTGTTTTTGATGGTAATCAATTATAGAATCATTAGTGAATAACTTATACAATTGTACACACCAAAATAAAAATAATATTATTAAACTT